GAGAATTGACTGTATGTTTTGTCGGCCGAAACACAGCAGCTAATTTCACACAGCAGTGTCCTGCAAACAGTCATGGATTGAGTGACCAAATTATTATTTTTTTTGGAAGGGATCATTACCCCCAGGAAGCCAATGACTAAAAGACAGGTTCCTACTTACTGCTAGGTAAGCAGTGGCATGTGGAATAAGGAAACCTGCCTAAGGTTTCGCCTTGCCCGGGAATTGAACCCGGGTCCTCTCACTTGCAAGGCGAGTGCTCTAACCACTACGATACAGGACTCCACAAAATAATTGAACGCAACAATTGAATTTAAAACCTGATAACCTCCGAGATTTGCATACAATTTAGACAGCAGCAAGCAGCGCACCCGTAATACAAAGTAGGGACAAAATGCTGCTCAGGATCTCTCCAATGCCTGCTCTCGGCAAATAGAACACATCCCCCTTTGTAACCGTTCGTGCTCTGCAGATGAAATGAGAAAAGTGAGTGATAGGATCTATTATAGTACTGGCAGGCTTTTTAACAGTATTATTATAATTATTATTGTTGTCTGTCATTGTTTGAAAAAAATATACGGTAATTAATGGCAGATTAGTATTTCTGCTGTCTGGTTTGGGTTTTGCGTAATCAGTTGCTACACTATCATGTCCCAGCGACTTGGAATGTCCTCCCGTCATGAAAGGCGCTGTGTAAATGAAATTTATTGTTGTTGTTGTTGTCACTCACCTAATGCATCAGGAGTTTTCTTTGACAATCAGCTTCTTGAGTTGTATTTTGGACAAATCAGGACTGTGGAGTCCTGTAGCTCAGTGGTTAGAGCACTCGCCTCACAAGTGAGAGACCTGGGTTCAATTCCCAGGCCGGGCGGAACGTTGGGCACGTTTCCTTACTGCACACATCTCAGTTTACCGAGCAATAAGTAGGAACCCGTTTGTTAGTTGATTGGCTGATCGCTTTTCCGGGGTAATAATTCCTTAAAAAAAATTGGTCATTTAATCCATGACTGTTTGTGGGACACTGCTGTGTGCAATTGGCTGCCGCGTTCGCCCACAAAATATACAGTCAATTCACTTTACAGGATATTCTGTGAAGCACTTTGAGACGTCTTGAAGACATGATAAGGCGCTATATCAAATGCAAGGATTATTATTATTATTCTTAAGCAAACCAAATCTACAATAAATATTTATCTCTTGAGAAATAAAGGTGCATTAAATTATTTTTTACATACACAAATCAATTTGTGCATACATATGTAGATCTTGGGAGGTATTTCTCTATTTGGACTGACTGATTTCTAAAATTTTATTCATTTTAACTCACTTCTCTGATACATAATTTCTATCAGACTACTAAACCTACAAAAACATTACCAACCAGTGCTTCCGCTGCTTGGCGGGCACTGACCTGCTCCATGTCACCCTCCCTGCCTACTCCACCATCGATGGTCGGACCTTCAGCCTTTCTGCCCTCACCCTCTTGAAGTCCATCCCAGAGTCCCTTCACCTCACCCACTCCTTTGCCACCTTCGATCGTGCCTTCAATCATCCTCCCAAATCCCACCACTTGCCCTTCACCTTTCTTGACTCCAATCCACAGCTCGGGTACAAACCCTTGACTGTCCAGTGCCTTGGGGCATCCTCCCAACGTGAAAGGCGCTATATGAATCCAATTTACTGTTGTTTATTGTTCTACATTTTAACAGTTAGGGAATTAATTCTGCAATACAGTTTCACCAGCAAACCTCTCACCAAATAATACAACAGTACTGTAAAAAAAAAGAATTCTCAATAACGAATGCTAACACCTACACCCCCGCCCCCCCCCCCCCCCCCACCACCACACACACACACACACACACACACACACACACAAGCAAACGCACACTAATGCACCCATACATATATATATATTCACATTCGCACACAACATTTCCACTCTTTACCAAGTTCGAACTGGAACAAATCTGAAATCTGCAGTAATCTGGTTCCAATATGCTAAATTTCACACTCTGAACTTGTACCAGAATTCAAATGCATCCTACTGGGGTGGGCTTTGCGATAGTTAGAATTCAATGGCAGCCTGACAAACTCCAACTCAGGATCTGCCAAAACCTTTACCAGTTACAATAAGATCTCACATAACACTTCACAATAGGGAACCAACTGTCTGATACTTTGTTGTTTTTCAAAATGTTAATGGCATTTGCCTTGCTTTGCCTGCATCTGCCCAGGAGACAGTTTTTTTTAAAAAAAACTCCAATGAGCATGTACTCTTTGATGCAAACTTCACGCTGTGGATTCCATACTGAGTGATGAAGCAGGAATGGGAAAAATCTGCATGTAACAGCAACTTTTGTAATGGAGTTATCCAACCAGAATTAGAACTCATTACACTACATATACATTTAGACTCACCGAGTGGGGTTGAAAAAGTACTGAACATTTAATGTCTTTAACAGCCAGAAAAGTCTTCCCACCCCCTCCACCCAAATTAAACTGCTTTCTGTAGGGCAACTCACGTATACATCAGCTCTGAGTAGATTTGAGGGCCATGATCAAGGTCTCATGAGGTAAAGTAATGTGCAGAAGACACAGTTTCATGTCGGGGGTACAGACCTTTTTCATTCCCATTGCACTCTTTACATTTTCTCAACGTAACTTCATTAATTTAGCAGTTATATTGGGAAATGATGAATTTTGTTTTGAAAGTAGGAAATGGAAGCCAAATGAATACATTTTACAGCTCTTATTCGCCACTACAAATGGCACTATTAGTGCTCCTGATAGCTCAGCTGGTAAAGCCACCACCTAGTGTGCAAAGCAGATCAGGAAAGTCCTGGGGTCTGATCCTCAGACAGTGCTCAGTTAGACAATCTCAGCTGGAACGCTAACATTTTACTCAGCAGCACTGGTCTAAGGAAGGGACACTCAGTCACTCACTATCTGGGCTCACACATGAAGAATGTTCACTTGGATGACGATCAACCGCAGGCTAACCAACAACTGTGCATCTGTATCCCAGCGTGAATCAGGGTTTCGAGAAGAAAAACACAGGGATGCTCAAGACAAGAAGACCATTATAGCTAATCTGGACAGTCCCTGTTAAAGTACTGTAGGATTATTTTATTTCATCTCTCATTCCCTCTCAATTCAATTAAACCCTAAATAGCTATCTAATTCCCTCTTGGATTTGTTGATAATAAAATACACTGGGAACATAGAATATTCCACAAATGTAACTTCTTGGAATCTATCTTTAGCACAGGTTTCTAATGTGCCTGATACAGCTTGAACTGTGCTTTCCTGTCACTTTTCACAGTGACACCAGAAGTGACACCAGTGGGGCCAAACAAATATGGCACTCACCTAACAATAGGTAACTCTATCTAAACCAGCCCTGGAAGCCTTTTGACTGAATGATTCCCCTCCAACTGTAGCAGTGTGATTATTTTAATTATACCTACTAGCAGAACACCACTCCATTTCTGCAATACATTCAATGAGGATTTTTAAAAAGAATTTACAACCTGCAATACACACCAAATAAATAACTTGTAAAAACACTATCACCATGAAAATCATGAGCAATGTTGTTTCCATCCCCCAAACTATTCTCCTTTAGATTCACTTTCCATATATATCATGGAAGTCCTGTAGCTCAGTGGTTAGAGCAATCGCCTCGCAAACGAGAGACCTGGATTCGATTCCGGGCAGAACGAAACTTTGGACAAATTTCCTTACTCCACACGCCTGATAATAATTCCTCAAGAAAAAAAAACAATAATAAATTGGTCACTTCAATCCACGACTGTTTGTGGGACACTGCTGTGCGCAATTGGCTGCTGCGTTTCGCCCACAAATATACGGTCAATTCAGTTTACAGTATATTCTGTGAAGCGCTTTGAGCCGTCTGGAAGCTGTGAAAAGCGCTATATCAAATGCAACGATTATTTTTTATCATTATATATAATAGGGCAAATGTACTCAAGATATAAAATCTAATTCTCCTGGTGTTCAGTCATTGAAAACCTAGGAATTTAATATGGTCCCTTTGACGAACCTTGATCTGAAAGTAAAGCACCGCATATTCTACGTACAGCCAGATAGCCAGATTCAATAGCCAGATACTCCATACCCGCACCTACCACGACACCCCAAAGCGTTGGAACTCTCTCCCCCAATCCCTTCACGTTGCCCCCTTCTTCGATCACAACTGAAGACCTTCCTCTTCTACCTCACTTACGGTTACCTCCTCCTCCCCACCCCCCACCCCCCCCCCACCCCCCCGGCTTGGCGTCAAACTCCGCCACCGTGAAGGGCGCTATATAAACGCAAGTTATTGCTGAGTGTGCATCCCATTGGTTTTGGCAGTTGCGCTGCTTGAACCATCATCAGAGCAGATAGAGTGAGAAGTGCAATACCTCTATTTTTTGCTTACTCTCCCCCTCCCACCTCTCCGCATCCCCACCCCCAGGGGGAAGAGCACCCACTTTGAAGTGTGGCCATCCATATATTCATGTAACCCCATAACAACAACAACAACAACAATACAAGAATGAAATGCAAATACCAATGAAAGAATAAATAAATAGATTGGGTGGAAGCATTATATATATATATATACAGTATATATATTATTATTATTACCATTTAACCCAACAACAACAGCAAAAATCAGTGAACTGCAAAAAAAACACACCGAGATGATAAACAAATAGATAACAGATTGGGTGGAAACATTGGTACACACACACACACACACACATATATATATATATATAGCAAAATGTTTGCACTTCACCGGCAATTGCCAACGGCAATAACCTGAGGAGTGGGGAGGCGGGACCGTGCATTGCTGGAGCGCTGCCAGGCGCTGCTGGCAATGCCTCTCGTGCCAGCCGAGCGGGCAGGTGGGCAGGTGGGCAGGCAGTGAGGGGGGGGGGGGAGCTGCCCCTCTCCCCTCTCTCCCTCCCTCCCTCTCTCTCTCTCTCTCTCACCTTGCACTCTGCTGTAGACATCAGTGCCGGGGGCCGGCAGCTGCCCCTCTCCCTGTCCCTGTCCCTGCCCGGGGCCGGGGCCGGGGCCGGGGCTGCTGCTGAGGGAGCGCCGCTTGGGCACACAGCCCCTGCGCTTCTCGTTTTTCCTCTTCATGGCCGGCGGCCCCCCCCGGGCAGCGGCTTCACACACATCCGGACCGCGGCTGCCGCACACACTCGCAAACCCGCGGCCAGTGTGAAAATGGCGGATTTATTAAACCCATTGACAGCCCCGAACCCACACCGAGAGCCGCTGCAACTGGTGCCGCGGCTCTGCTCTGCTGTGCCGCTGCTGCTGTGGCTGTGCTGTGCTGCGAGTTTGCAGAGCCGCGTCCTTCCTCCTCCAAACGCGGCTCCCGAACAGCCAACACTGCGCGCTGTGACCACTCAGCACTCACTCACTCACACTCAGCACTCACTCACTCACACTCTCACTCACACACACTCACTCTCACACACACTCACTCTCACTCACACACACACACTCACTCTCACTCACACACACTCACTCACACACTCTCACTCACACACACTCACTCTCACTCACACACACTCACTCTCACTCACACACACACACTCACTCTCACTCACACACACTCACTCACACACTCTCACTCACACACACTCACTCTCACTCACACACATTCACTCTCACACACACTCACTCTCACTCACACACACACTCACTCTCACTCACACACACTCACTCTCACTCACACACACACACTCACTCTCACTCACACACACTCTCACTCACTCTCACACACACTCACACACTCACTCTCTCACTCACCCACTCACACACTCACTCACTCTCACACTCACACACACTCACTCACATACTCTCTCTCACTCATTCACACTCACTCTCACTCACTCACTCTCACTCTCACTGACTGACTGACTGACAGAGGCTGGGGAACCAGACCAAGCTCACGCTGAAGTTATTGGGTCAGCAACAGGATGAGAGTGAGCTTCAGGATCTTTACCCCACTCCCCTCCTCCTCCTTCTCCTCCTCCAAAAGAAAACGATTGCAGAAAAATTCATCCCAGGAATGTTCTCCCACCTCCTCAACAAGCAGCCCTGGCTTGAAAATGATAATAATAATAATAATAATAATAATAATAATAATAACCCTTGCATTTGATGTAGCGCTTTTCACGTCTTTTCGAGACGTCTCAAAGCACTTCGCAGAACAGACTGTAAAGTGAATTGACTGTATATTTTGTGAGCAAAACGCAGCAGTCAATTGCGCACAACAGTGTCCCACAAACAGTCGTGGATTGAGCAGCCAATTTATTATTGTTTTTTTTTCTTGAGGGATTATTATCAGGCGTGTGGAGGAGGGAAACTTGCCCGAGGTTTCGACCTGCGGGAATTGAACCCAGGTCTCTCGCTTGTGAGGCGAGCGCTCTAACCACTGAGCTACAGTACTCCAAAATAACATTGAATCAGAGCTGGGCACAATGCAGCAACAACAACAACAGATTGCATTTGTATAGCACCTTTCTGGTCAGGAGGATGTCCCAAAGCCCTGAAATACAACAACTTGCACTCTTCATGCAGGGCAGCGGCTCGGAGTACTTATTGTCAGATAACTCAAGGCAGGATCCTGCTGCTTGAAGGGCATTTTTTTCAGAACAGGCATCGGGAAGTTTTTTTTCTGTACAAGAAGGATAATTAAGTGATAATAATCCTCGTGCTTGATACAGAGCCTTTAACACAAGGAGGAAATCTCAAAGCGCTTCACAGGATTTACATTTTTCGGGTATCCTCCAGCTAAGGTAAGCACTTTCTGTCATTGAGATGTCCTTCCCCCCAAACCTCCTGGCTCCTTCCTCCTCTCATCCCTGTCCCTCCGTACCAAATACCTGCTCATAATGGGTAATTTCAACCTCCACCTTAACTCCCCTTGCACCAACTCCTCGGATGTCACTGCCCTCCTCTCCTCCCTAAACCTCACCGTCCACATCAACTCGCCGACCCACAACCATGGCTACCTCCCCTCGACCTCATCATCACACATGACCTTGACATTTCCGACCTGTCTATCACAGACAAGGCCACCTTGGACTACTTCCTCATCTCCCTCTCCTCCCGCATCCCACTTCCCCCTTCCAAGCCCACCATCTTTTGCCGCCCCTGGAAAAAGCTTCCCCCTGAGTCCCTCGCAAATGCCCTCTCTTCCTCGGATCTCCTCTCCTTCTGGACCTCCACCCGCAGTGATCCTGATGCAGCCATCAAGCTGCTGAACGGCCATCTCGCCACATCCTTTAATTCCCTGTCTCCCCTGAAATCCAGGGCTGTTTCCAAACCCACCCGCTCCCCTGGTACAACAGTCATCTCCGCTCACTCAAAAACCCAAATCCGGACCCTGAAATGCAGATGGCAGAAATCCAGCCTCACAATTCACCGCCATCTGTGGCTCGAGCACCTCCGCACCTACCACCTCTCCCTTTCATAAGCCCAAACTGACTTTTACTCCAAAGCTATCCTGGAGGCTCAAAACAATCCAAAAACACTGTTTTCTACCGTCCATCACCTCCTCCGTACACTCCATCCAGCTCCCACTATCCTCACATCAAACGCCAAGTGCAAAGAGGTCCTAGACTTCTTCACCTCAAAGATTGAAAACATCTGCTTGGCTGCATCGTCCTCTTCCCCCGCCCCATATCCCCTTCCACCCCACCCAGACCATCCTCAGCTCCTTCTCCCCCCGCCATGGCTCATGCCGCTCCCCCCTCCTTATACTTCTTTCCCCCATTTCTCCCTCATACCTCTCAACGAGAATCACCCATTTGAATTTCACCACCTACTGCCTCAACTCCCTCCCCAGCCAGCTGCTGGTCACTTAACTACCCCTCTTCTCCCCCTGCTGGCCGACAGGATCAACCAGTCTCTCTCCTCAGGCTCTGTTTTACTCCCCTGAAAACCCTGAAATATACTTTGTCTCCTCCAGTATCGAATCCAGCTCCGCCAATGTTCTATCAGCTTGTCTGGCAGAGATCAGGGCCTGGATGAGTGCCAACTTCCTGCAGCTGAATGTGGACAAGACGGAAGCCATACTCCTTGGCTCCCGTCAACTTCTTCACTCCTGCAGATCTGAATTCCTCAACCTCCTTGCGTTCTCCCTCACACTCACTGAACCAGTGTGTAATCTAAGCATCCAGTTTGACCCCCAGATGTCCTTCCTCCCCCACACCCAACCTCTGACCAGGACCGCCTTCCTCAACCTCCACCTCCATTGCTCACCTTGGACCATACCTTATCCCAAATGCAGCTAAAACTCTTGTGCATGCATTTGTCACCTCCCACCTGGATTATTCAAACACACTGCAATATATCAATGCAATTTGTTGTTGTTGTTTGTGGCTTTTTGTGGAACCTTGTTGGTCACAAATAGGGTCCTGTGTGTGCTGCAAATGCACTTGACAACACTCATGTATTAAACACATTTCAACATTATAGCGCTAAATCAAAGGCAAGGAATGTTATCAGTGCAATTAATAGCAAATATTAACTTAACACTCCAGTATTCCCCTCTCATTCTGCCCCATAATACAAAACCTCTTACTCTTTTTACTATTCCTTTAAAATAGTGGCTAGATGACCAAGCAATCTTACAAATACGAAAAAATATATTTTATCAATATAATTAAAAACAATAAAGATAAAACATTCTTAGAATGAAAGGATCTCTTTGAACTAAATACGCATAACATCTGGACAATGTATTGACTGCCATGTTTTCTTGAGCAGCAGTGATGTGAACCCAACTCTAGAGAGGTCGGAAAATAATCCTTTTAGAAAATTAAAATTGAGTCTAGAGATTATAACCCAACTATACACTTACCAGCAACAGTGAGATGGAGGTTTAATGCATAACGCAAGGCTGATGTGGGAAATTGAAAGGTCACACAGATGCAGCAGCTTATATTTTCGAGACTGGGCTATGCACACAGTGGGGATATATTCTCAATTTGGCTTGGATACTCTTAAGCATGGTGATGGCTTTCCTCATGTGTCAGACACCCGGCTGACCAAAACAAATTAGAAGCTTTAAATGATAAATATCTTGCAGTTCCTTATTCACAAACACAATTATCCTTCAAAAAAGGAACTAAATAAATATTTACTTGGAGGATATTGTGAGAGGAATAATAATAATTATTCTTGCATTTGATATAGCGCTTTTCACGTCTTCTAGACGTCTCAAAGCGCTTTACAGAATAGACTGTAAAGTGAATTGACTGTATATTTGTGGACGAAATGCGGCAGCCAATTGCGCACAGCAGTGTCCCACAAACAGTCGTGGATTGAAATGGCCAATTTATTATTGTTTTTTCTTGAGGGATTATTATCAGGCGTGTGGAGTAAGGAAACTTGCCCAAGGTTTCACCCTGTCGGGAAACGATTGAGATAAGTAAATGTTCTATAGTACCTGACGATTTATATTCTCCTGGGAGAGGCACTATGTGGATAGCAAGTAGAAGGAACTCCCTGCGAACTTCCTGGTGGGCAACACAGCTCAGCATGAAATGCATGAGAGCATTGCCACCATCCTTCTGTCTGCAGCTCAGACACACATCCCTTACTATTGAGCGATGGTTCCAGCGGTTTGAGGTGAAAGGGTTAAGCAGCAGCTCATTGTGTACAATAATAGTACCATTTTCTGTTCTGGTTCATCGAGCGCTGTCTATAGCACATCTAGTGTTCTGTTTTTAGTTGCTGAAAAATGCAGGTCAGGAAGTCAGACAGTACTATCCGATCAAATAGGTAACATAACAACAGAATTCTACTTATATCCTTTGATTGGTAGTTTTTCAAGGTTAACTAGCTGGACAATTAATTAACTATTGTTAAATATACCCAAATCCAGGAGTTCACAACTGATTTGTTTTCCACATTGATTTCCTATATAAAGACACGTCAATCTGAAATGTACAACAGAGCTCACTGGCACTGAGAATGTCTGCAATGAAATTTAAAAATAATCTACCCTTGTTCCCATGGCATGTTGACCTTATTGACTGCTGTCTTAAAAAATAAACATTACAATCATCCAGAATCTTTCTTTCAACATTTCAGTCCAAATTCCTTTTTGACACAAGCCTGAGCTTTAACGACCAAGATTTAGCTTTAACGACCAAGATTTAGCATGATTACTTTCCGTGTTGAAATGATCTAGAATATTTACACTGAGCGATTATTAGAGGTAGCAGATTATTCACAATGAAGTTTCCACCAGGACCAATATAGCTTCCTACATTTGCTATTCCTGAAAGCCCTGGAGCAGGCCAGTGCTTTATTACTTTGTATCTCTGCACAGCTTTAGTGCTTATTTTTTCTCCTGAAGATGTGAATCACTGTTGGGATACAGTTTCACGGGAGTCAGTCACCCCAGCGTACTTTGCCCAACTAGCTTTTCCTTATGTTTGTGTGCTTGGGATAGTGTGTATTGTCATTCTACACAGTGCACCATATCTAATCCTGCTCCTGTACTCATCCAGCATGCAAACAGATGCATTTCCTAGAGGAGATCACTGCACAGCAATCAGTAATAGGAGCTGTCTTAAATTTCCTTTTTTTGCCTCAGTGATATTGAGGTTAATTATAGAAACCTTACAGCTCAAGTGACTAATCAAAGGCTGGGGATTGGACCTGGGAGATTCCTAGTCTGTGTGGAAAATCTTTACGAACAGCGAAGTTCCTCTACAAACAAAAGAGTTTATTCTGATGCACCTGCTAAGTCCAGTGAATCCTTTGATGGGATTTAATAATGGGAAATCCCATTGAAATGATTGCCTACAGTTAATAAACTGAGCAGAAAAGCTGCAGGTAGAGCCCCAACGTGTATTTTGGATCTCCAAATATCTCTGCAATCCATACTGGTCTAAGCATATTTTTTTAAAAAAATCTGTACTATTTGTATTAGTCTTGAGTGTAATATTAATAATAATAATAATTGCATTTGATATATCACTCTTAAGAAAGATGTCTCAAAGTGATTCACAGTATTTACTGTGAAATGTAGTGAGTGTATTTTGTAGGTTAACGAGGCAACCAATTTATGCACAGAAATACCCACAAAAAGCCCAGGAACAGTACTATATAGAGTATTTGTACTGAAGCAATTCAGACGGACCAGAAATAAAATAAGGTGAAGTTTGGTATTTGAGCTTTGAATTATTAAACAATATTCCTTGAATTTGATTTTGCCTTATCATTTTATAACGCTGTATTGGTTTAATATACTGAGGGTGCAGTGGAGATTCATTAGGGTGATGGTAGGAATAAAAGGTTAGTTATGTGATGAGACTTGAAAATCAGTTACAATTTTCCTTGGAGCAGCTTTCAAAGCTACGAATATTTTTGATGGGATATACAGTATAATTATTTTCACTGAATGGCGAGTCATGGAAATCTCACAATTTTGTTTCAGGCAAAACTTTTTTTTGGAACTAATTGACTTCAGTGTCTATGTGCTGAACAGAATTAGGGATGATGTTCACTGCTTGTAAATATAATCTCAAAGGTCAATGGTTTGTGCCTGAGCTCTGAAGTCCACTGTTGTTACACCGGCCAGTTGCAGCACGAAGTTGATGGGTGTGTGATCAAGCTTATTCATATCTAGATGACCAAAGTGAACTTCATCCCCTTTAAGAAATAAGAATAAATAATGTTTATTATAATAATATATCAATAATATAGATTCCTATCAGATAAAATACAAATTTCACTGAAACATCAAACGCTTCACATTTACATTAATTAATTCACCGTAAAACGCCTTTTCTTTAGAAAAAAAACTCACGAACCCGGACTTGTTGGATGTTGAATGACCAACTAGTGACTATCCTCCTTGGCGGGGAAGTAAGCGAGGTCTCCTTGAAGCTGAACTGGCTCCAAGGTGACATGTTTGGCAATGGAATGTCAGAATCAAGCCATCCCTCTGTAACAGTCTGGGTAATCCAGTTTCCGAGCCCGGCGGGTCTGCAGTATTCCAGAGCACTGCTGATGACAGCTAGAGCCTATAGCTAGAGCGACCCCTGACCATGAAGATGATGTGGAAATAATGGCAAATTGTTCTGTAGCCCTGTAGTCCTGTAGCTCAGTGGTTAGAGCACTCGCTTTGCAAGTGAGAGACCTGAGTTCAATTCCAGGCAGGGCGAAACCTTGGGCAAGTTTCCTTACTCCACACGCCTAATAATAATCCCTCCAAAACCAAAAACAATAATAAATTGGTCATTTTCAATCTACGACTGTTTGTGGGACACTGCTGTGCGCAATTGGCTGCCGCGTTCGCCCACAAATATACAGTCAATTCACTTTACAGTGTGTTCTATGAAGCGCTTTGGGACGTCCTCCCGACGTGAAAAGCGCTATATCAAATGCAAGGATTATTATTATTATTATTATAATGATTCTAAATATGTTCAGGGAGGAGAAAGAAACATTTTTTCCCAATGTTTCTTTGCATCACAATCAAAATGATTTTTTTCCATGCACTAAACACCATGACATCAAAAAAACTCCAATGAAACTCCTGTAGAACAAAACCTCGCTCCCCGGGGCCTACGATCAAAGCTCCACCTTGCTGAGCTGCGTCACCCTGAAAGTCAAATGCTGGGCTGTTCATGGCTCGCCAAATGCTCAGAAAGTTTGATTTGACATGGAGACTCCTAACTGATAAAAAGAAAGTAAAACATCACTGAATAGCAGATTCGCTCATTGTCAGTAACACCTTTGTGAAATTGTGAACTACAGAACATATGTGAAAGTGCATGAAACAGCATATGAAAAGCTCTATTCAATGATTCTAAATATGTTAAGGGAGGAGAAAGAAGCATTTTTCCCCAATGTTTCTTTGCATATTTAGAATCTATTATTGTCCCAATTTTCTTGCCTTCTCTATACAAGAAAGTGACCTGTCATACAGTTTTAAGGATGCTGAGCTCTCTCCAACATCTTGTCCATTTGCCCATAGATTATGTTTGAGGCTAGGCAGTGGTGATCAGCAGATTGTTTGATCTCGCATTACAGCCAAGCTCAATCCTGTCCATCCATGGATACAAGAGTGGGAACCCTGCCTGAATCTTTCCTGTTAGCTCATGGGCACCGAGGCTAATTGTAGCACTCCTACAGCTGCCTCAGCTAAGATGAGGTAACCAAGCTTAAAAGGACCTTTCAGCTTTGCATGGTTCACTTTGACAGAGATTAGTGCCTTTCATAACTGAGCTATTAAAGAAGCAATGCAATTTTGAGCATTTAGGTAGTCATAAGCAATACATATTGCATGCTATAAAAGCCCATGTAATACATCAGCAATGCATTAAACATTAAGATGTTTAAAAAGTGTTGTCTCCACACATTTCCAAATAGAGACAATTCACTGAACCTGTTTTTGAGCCATTGATTTAAAATCAGTTTTCTCTAACCTCGTGGATGGAACAATACATAAATGCACTTTATTGTGTAGTGTAGAGCTGCAGTTCAGGAGGGTGCAACATTTAAACATTGCTCTTTGCTCAATTAACTGATCTCAGCCAGATGAGTATTGGTGGTGGTGGTGGGGGGAGGAGTGGGGAGGGGAAATGTTGAAAGTACAAGACTATTTTGGAAAGCTTGCATGAGGATGGGAATAAAACCAGTCACCATCCCTGCATGTTGTCATTATCCAACGACCCCTGGGAGAGTGAGCAGCACCTTGACTCTGATGGTACCCATGCTGGAGCATCTTGCTAAACATCTCTGTCTCGGCTCACACATAGGACTGTTCGATTGAGTGAGGTGACAGGAGGTTGTAAATACCCATAAAATTACATCCCCTGAAAGGAAAGAAAATTCAGAGGAAGAATTTGTTTTCCCCAAAAGATTCAGATCCTACTCTTTTCCATCTTTTTTCTCAAGGAAAACGGACTAAGCTTCCTTCATCTATCTCCATAGGTCAATATTTTAAGACCCAGGGCACCTTGGTTTCTCTGCTTTGGATGCTTTACTACTGTCTTTAACTCTGAAGTCATATTACAGATTTTTTTTGAAGCATTCATTAGTAATACAGTAGTTTATTGAATATCACAAATTGAAAGTGGATGAAACATAGCAGCACTGTGGCATAGTGCAGGCACACCAGTGTGTAGTGGTGGTGATTGGGAGTGGGAGGTGAACTGGAACTTGCTCCAGCTACTTTATTGTGGGGAAGTGCTGTGAGGGAGGTTCACAGCAAAGGAAGGGGAAGTCAAGCAAAGAGTCATCATCATCACCATGCAACAAGTGTGCACCTCCAAGTGGTCAATTCAGAGTGTCACTGGGCAAACAGATGCCATAGAGGCTCAGGCAGTGCAGACCAGAACTACAACAACAACTTGGATTTATACAGTGCCGCTCACACAGGGTAGCGTCCCAGAGCATTTAATAGTGGCAGAGCATGATGCCGAGCCATCGGGAGGGGGGAGGTGACCGTAGGCATGGTCGAAGGGAAAAGTCAACAGATGCAACATTAAGCTGGGGGAGATTGGAGCAAGGCAAAGGGATTGATGGAGAATGTTCCAGAGTTTCGGGGCATAGTGGTTGAAAGCGCAGATACCGATGGAACGGAAAGCACAAGGGACGAGCAGGAGCCTGGAGCCAGTTGAACAGAAGCAACGTGAAGTGAATTGGGAAGTAAGCTAGTCGGAGAAGTAGGAAGGTGCCAGGTCATGAAGGGATTTCAAGACGAGTGTGAGGATCTTGAAATCAAACAAAATAGGGGAGGGGAATAAATAATACTGCAGTGAGATTCTCTCACAGCAAACTTCCAAGAAACAGAGCAAAAAATAATATTCTACCTTCTCGGTGAAATATTTCTCCTTGTTTCATTCCCAGTCCCTTATAAATCTGTCTGCTTGGATAGACATAAATGTTATGATTGTATCTCATTTGTGAACAGAAACTCTAAAGAGCAGGGAAATTATACAATTTAATAGTTTTTGAACATTTTATTGTGACTGAATATGTTTTTTTCAGGTTGAAAGCCTGATCAAAAACTGATTACATTAGGGTTTTTACATGGGATTTATCCCAGTCTTTAGCTGAACTAGAGAGTACTTTTAAAAACGATAGCTAATATTCCCCCTAATAGAAGGAAGAGGTTAGACGATTTTTTTAAAACTCAAGACAATTTAGAACGTGGAATGCCTTACCACAAATGTCTGATGATCCTAAACTCATAGAAGCATAGAATTTATAGCAAGGAAGATGGCCTTCTGGCCTCGCATGTCTGTGCTAGCTTTCTGAAAGAGCCATCTATTCAGTTCCATTATCTAGTCCATTCTCTAATCCTCTCAATATTTTGTTTTGCTTTTTAAATGTTTTCTAATTCCTTTTTAACAGCATTTGAAAGAAAACAGAATAAATACGTAAGGAAAAGAGAATTGGGATTAAAGTAGATAGCTTGAGAAGAGGAGGTGGCATGTACAGAGTCTGAATGGCTTCCTTCTGTGCTGTATTTTCTATGATTTCTTCTTGGCTATAACCTGTAGTGGCTTTAATTCTAATGATATAAACAAACATTGGATAAATGAATTTTCGCTCTACACCCCAAAAAATACTGAGTCCTAAATTCTTCATCATGAACGTTTAACAACCTAAGATTCAATAATAACTTTCAAAAGTGAATTGGATATTTACTTGAAAAGAAAAAAATTGCAATGGTATGGGGAAAGAATGGGGAGTGGGACTAATTGGATAGCTCTTTCTAAAAGCTGACACAGGTATGATGGGCCAAATGGCCTCCTGCAGTGCTATAAAATTCTCTTATTCTAAGTATTTCAAGAACCACTGTATGGTTATCCGACTCCCGAAGTACATTCAGACAACGGAGTCCTGGAGCAAGCGTGCAGTAATATCCTTCACAAAAACTTGCCTTTTAAAGACGTTGAGCTGATTAAGGGAATAATCAAAGACACACATACCTGAATATGATGATAAGTGCACTGTCCAATAACTATTAGTCTGACACCAGCATCCTTCAAAAAACAAAGTAAATCATTGGGTAATTGTGAATTAATGCAGTACTGGTGACATTTTGAACCTACGATATCTTGCAAACGAGGGCAAATTCAACAGTGTGAAGTCTAAGAGGATTAGTCACTGCTGTAGAGGTCGTTAGAAATGAGCAGCAATAAATGAGGTATAAAATTATTGTGACATTTGGCACACAAGGGAAACCTGAGACTGTACTGACATAAGTAAATGGTGGCATTTCAAAAGAGTATTGATCCTAAATCTAAGCCTTTAAATTTATTATTGGCAGTTTTTCCATTCCCCTTGCTACCTCTTCCCCCCACACCACCCACCACCCCCCTCCTGCATACTACCTCAAAGGACATGCATATTTTCTTATGTCCGCTACTTATCCACCAGAGATCAGAAATTCTCATTGGATAACCACGGTAATACTTCTAAAAAAAACTTCTATTCCTTCTATAAAACACTACTACTTCTAGTGGTATCAACTCATCATGTCAAACAATTTTCATTTTGCACCCAAAAAATATTGAGCCCCAAATTTTTTATCATGAAACATATAACAACCAACATATCTCAGGTACTACTCCCACCAAACATGCAAACTAATACACGAAAAAAATACTTCTATTCTTTCCATAAAATACTTCAATAAAATAGTTATATTCAGCCTACCACCTAGCTTAATGTGGTTGTATGTGTTTTAGTCATATCTGCAGATTCTCAAGAGTTTTTCTTTATTTGTACATGTGGTGCACACGTTTAAAGAGAGTGATTGACCCCAAACTACACTGATAAGAAATTAGCAACGTCTAGGTATTTCAAACATAAAATTACCCAATTTAGATCAACTGAGGTTAGTTCAGTGTTCTCCTCTTACATGTCCACGACCAGAGTTAAAAAACATTTGACCTTTTTGCTCCTTTTTGAGTTGAACTCAAAAGACAATATTTAACCACATAATCTCTTGTTTGTCAACACCTAGATCTTTGTCAAAGCAGATGATAATCAGTGTAAGGATGACTGCTCTGTGTGCTTTTGGCTATAATGAACTATCCAGCTTCTTGCCTCTTTTATTTCCAGAGAGANTTTTTTCCATTGGAGAATGATGGAAGCAGACAACAGGAAATTGCTTTTAACCTCAATTTAATTGCATTTGAATGATCTTGTAACCTGATCTTCAAGATTGCAGAAAGTATTTGTGAATTGTATATTCTTATCCCTGGAGAATTTCGAGCTCCTCTCCAATATTGTCTGGGGACTGATGGATAATTCAGTGCAGCCTTAGAAAAGCAGCGTGTAATCAGAAAGCTCAGATACACAATAACCTTGATTTCAAGGTGTGTTTATAATAAAATATTTATAACAAATGACATACAACCTTAGGGAAATCGCAACATACCCAAGTGAATTTGATGCTTACCGTTAGATATTTTTGTGGGACTTTTGCCAAATCCTCCACATATTATATTCTTTGCAGGTATAGCACAGAAAATGCTGGAAAAACAGTAGAGATATTTTTATAACAAAAGAAAATAAGTTAACAAATGAATGTCTTATCAAGATGGACCAGTACTGCAGTTTTTTTTTAATGTGCAATGACATTTAATTTCGATATGGGATCCTTGGCAAAAGCTTTTTGCTGTCAGTACTTTTTTGCGCTACTTGCAAATGATGTCCTTTTTTCTTAGGCAACAGGCCAAGCAACTCAATGTTTCTTAAAGGAAAAGCAATCAAATCTTTCGCCTGCAAACATACAATCACTAAACTTTACAGTAAAATACTTTGACCTGCTTTGAGATGTTAGAATGACATAATAGGATGTTATATCAAATGCAAGGATTACAATTATTATTATATATATAAAACACCACTTTCTTTTCTCTCTCCCCCAATTTTACTCTCCCAGTGGGGTCCAAGTACTTGTCTACCAATTGACAAAGAAATATGTTTTACTTCAGTGGAAATGCACAGCGTCTGTCCCGGATACACATGCCTCGGTGCTACCTGGAAAAGTTCTGATGAGTTATGAATAACATTTGCCTGCCTCTCCTACCCTGACGAAAACCAGGATTGGTTTCCTCTCCCCATTCAAAGCTAGGAAAGCTATTTTGTTTCCATGGCTATCATCGAGTAAGCAATCTTGAGCTGCCTTGATCGTGATGGTGGGAGCTCGGTCCAGCTAATCCCTGGGGGTTCTGGTGATCTTCAGGACTTGGGCAGCCTTTGATGACATTTCCAAGGCCTCCATCAACACAGTGAAGGCTCTGGATGACCCGAGGCTTCAGCAGTACACGCCTGACACGCAGCTTCGGATCACAGCCAGAGACACAAAATGCAAGGCATCCAGTCATGTTGGAAATACTGTATCTCTTGTAACCTGTGAAAATTTCCAAAGTTCCTTTGAACATTGCATATAATAAACTTAGATTTTTTAAAAAAACTGTAATAATCCAGAAAATTTAACTATTCAGTGTATTAGTTTGTGATTCACAATGATTGCAAGAAAAGTCTGGATGAAGAGAAGCTTCTGACCGTTTGATCTCATCTTTCCAGAATAGTCACCCTACCATCCCCCATTTATAGCACCAAGACACTTAAAATTAGTCCAGAGGAAAACCACTTTGAAATTGGGGGGGGGGAGGCAGGAAATATTAAATACTGTCCACCCTCCATTATGAGTAATTGATTGTAAATAGTAAACTAGTATGATAATCCTTGCATTCTCAAAAGAATGTACAAAAGACTACCTTCAAAACCGAGGCTGCATGTAAGAATAAGCCAAATTCCCTATGCACTGAAATGTTACATTAATAGAGTAAATCTAGACCCAGGTGGATTTTCTGTGCCATGTATTCATGCAGAATGCTAATATGAAGCTGCAGCAGGTTTTTATTCCTGGCAATTATCAGAAACTTTATGTTGCACTGCTCCAGGCATACAGTAATCATAACCCATTCACATGATTTTCAGCACAGCTTCTCTCTGCTGTTATAAGAGGAGGGTGTCCAAAAGACAGCCAATGGAGGCTGATCCAAATCAAGCATCATTCTAGTACTTGTGGCCAGAGGTGCATTTCTGGGTAAAAGCCTTTGCTCTTTACATTCATTTTATTCCCTTTTCCCCTTGTTTCTAAAAGGTTACCTCAAATGTGAAGATTCAAAAGCATTTGGCTTTAGGATTGGCCACAAAATTGGTAATGATCATAGATGCCACTTTACGCCAAGGATGAATCTGTATGTGAAATCAGACATGTGATTTGAAAAGGGGGGGAATCACTGCCTTTAAGATGGTTTCATTTCCCACATTTTCAATTTAATCAATTCAAAAGGAGTCGTACAACTGGATTGGGTACTAACTAATGGTGTGTGTGTATCACTAAAACATTTTATGTGGTTCTCTGAAATGTTATAGGGTGCGTCTAATTTGTTTAATTTCCATAATAATAATAATCCTTGCATTTGGTATAATACGTTATCACATCATCGAGACGTCTCAAAATGCTTCACAGGATTTTACTGAAGTGTGATTGTATATTTATAATGCCAGTAGTCAATTTGCACGTAGCAATGCTGCTCAATGGGCTAATTTCTAGATAAGCTTTAGGCCCTGTATCATTTATTTCTGCTGGAATTAATTTATTAAAAAAAGCTTGTTCTTTGAAAGCAAAAAATCCAAGTTATTGAATAATTTTGCAATCTCAGGCTGCAGTAAACGGCAGACTCAGGTGACATGCATCTTATTATTCAGTCAATTGGAATTCCTCAAGGATGTGCTAATTTAAAGTGAACCTGTGTTCAAAACGGGAAAGCTAGATGTTTCTCTAAGAACGATAAAGCAAAGGCCAAGTTACTTACCTTGGGCATAATGTAAAGTCTCGCTAGTAATTTTTTAAGATGCATTAAGATACTGGTTACCTTGGGAACCACTTTGCTCAGTGCTTTCTATTGATCTCTTTTTAAAAAAAAGCAAAGAAAAAATACAATGAATCTAAGGCTGAATAGCTTGCACGTCCACTTGAAAATGGGTCTCGTTTATAGAAAAGTGTTTACATAATGGATCACGTAATGAACTTTTATAACTGGCATAATCAGAGATCTAAAATGTTAGTTTAATTGCCCCATACAACAATCATAGTAAATTGTGGCATGTTTGCTTAAGGCATGTTATGGCCTTATTTTGTGTGCTAAAGAAATTATGAGTCACCATAGTAACAAATGCACCAGATGGCATTTTATACATATGATAGCTTTGCGTGTGGTTAAAAAGTGCCTCATTCATTTCTCTGAATAATTGCCGGTGCTTGTCTGTGAGTAATTGAAAACATTAAAGTTGTTCTACCTACCCCAGAATGCTCATACTTCAGCAGTAATATTGGGATTTCAGTACACTCGCTTATTAATGCTTATTCTGGATTTGAAAGGCTTTTTTTGCGTTGTTACATTATATATGTTTGCCAACCATTTGGCTACTGGGCTGGGATCTTCAGTCTTCCAAATGAATAACGTTCTGCTTTCAAGGTGGGAAAAAGTTGTGGGTGTACTTTCTAATAATAATAATAATAATCCTTATAATCCTTGCATTTGATATGGCACCCTTCACATTTTTGGATGTCCCAAAGCGCTTTTCAAGAATTACTGCAAAGTGGAGTGACTGTGTATTTGTCGGCGAACAATTTTACCACAGCAATATCCCACAAACAGCCATGAACTGAATGACCAATTTTTATTTGAGAGATTATTGGCTAAGACCCCAGAAGAAACCCTCTTCTCTTTTTGAATAGCGCTACGGGTTCTTTAATGTCCACCTTAACAGGCAGATGGGATCTCGGTTTAACATCTGATCCAAAAGACTTCATCTCCAATAATGCAGCATACCTCCAGCACTGTATTGGAGTGTCAGCTTAGATGATGTGAGTTCAAGTTCTGACATGGTATATATTCCTGTATACTTAGCTGGGTAGGGTTTATTAACTAAGAATCTCACTCAATTTTTCTATTCTGTTCTGCCAATCTTTATCCCCACAATTCTTTCCAATCCTTCTATTTCCCTGGATTTCAATGAGGCCTCTGGTTCCAATTGTATTCCTCATAATATCCTCACTAGATGCTCTCCAGTGCTACTCCTGTCCTTTGCTGTTTCTTCATTCGTCTACTACCAGGGGATCTTTCTTTCTTTTTGAAAAATTGCTCATATTTACTTGCTCCCTAAAAATAGCATTCCTCTTACCTTTCAAACCATTAACCCTGGCGCGGTCAGTTGCAGTCTTTGAATCAGTAGTTTGTGGATTCTAAGTCCAACATCGGGACTTGAGACTAGACCCCAAAATCACTACCCTGTACAGCAAAACAGTGTTTTGAGATATTTTGATAAGATGCTGAATGGAATCTGAATGCAAGGATTATTAATATTAGCTAGCTTTCCAACTCCTGAAATAGTAACATTCCAGAGTATTTGGCTGACTTTGCAACCTGAGCTATTGCTCTTCATACGTATTGTCCTTTTCCAGCAACACAGGGTCATTATATTCCTTAGAATATTGGATTAGCTCTGTCCATACTTGTCATCTTCAATCCTATTTCCGCTCCGATACTTATTGAGCTCTTTTTTTAAAACAAGTTAATTGACATAACATTTACTGCTATTGCTGGGCATTATCAGTGTCCAAAGGGATCACAATCCAAATGGGACAAAAACCCTCAGGGACAAATGCTTGATTTGCTGAACGTGAGAATTTGTGCTGACCTCACGTGTGGTAACATATCACAAATGTTCACTAGGTGGCGCACTACCCTTTATAACCATGTTAGCAATGTTTCACAACACCCAGAAAGCAGAATGTCTTTGGGGCAAAACCTTAGGCAAGTTTTCTTACTCCACACAGCTCTGTTTACCTAGCAGTAAGTAGGAACCCGATTGTTCGTCGGTTGGCTGATCGCTTTCCAAGGGATAATGATTCCTCCAAAAAAAAATAATAATTTGGTCACTCAATCCACGACTGTTTGTGGGACGCTACTGTATGGAACTGGCTGCCGCATTTTGCCCACAAAATATAGTCAATTCACTTTACAGTACATCCTGTGAGGCATTTTGAGAAGTTTCAACAACATGATAAGGTGCTACATCAAATGCAAAGATTATTATTATTATTATTTAGGTCAAATGTAGTATCACTGCTGCTGTCCTTCTGAGAACAATAATAATAATAATAGTTCTTGCACTGGTATAACACCTTATCACATCTTCGAGACGTCTCAAAGAGCTTCACAGAATATACTGTAAAATGAATTGACTGTGGGCGAAACACGGCAGCCAATTGTGCACAGTAGTGTCCCACAAACAGTCATGGATTGAGTGACCAATTTAGTATTTTTTTTAAGGATTGTTACCCCCGGAAAAGTGATCAGCAAATCGACTAACAACCGGGTTCCTACTTATTGCTAGGTAAACAGAGGTGTGTGGAGTAAGGAAACTTGCCCAACATTTTACCCTGCTGGGAATCTAAACCAGGTCTCTAGCTTGCTCTAACCAATGAGCTACAGGACTCCACACTAACTCAGTTCAAACAAGGGATCAAACCTGGGACTTTCTAGGTTTTGGGGGCTCATATCATGTGAGACAACAACCCACTGAGCTATCGGGGAAATATTTTTAAATATAATTTTATGTCCAGAGTAGAAACAAATTTAAAAGTGGATTTTTTGTATGTAATGATCAAAGCTACAATATTGATTGCTGAAGAGACAAGCTTATCCCCAAGCTATATTCAAATGACAATAATTTTGTTAAAACTAATTTTCAAAATTAAACTCAAACTCTCTATACGGAAATCCACTGCCTTGTGTAGTACAGTAAAAGTCATGTAAGTCTTATCTTTATAAATTGTGTAATTGCCGAGGTCATACATGCACTTGAATCCCATTTAGTTCCCTATTAAAAAGCAGTTTTATTTGCACTAGTTGTATGCTATAAATTGGATAAACAGCGAAATAGTAACAGTTTCTTGGTCCTAAATACATCCTAAGTCCTAAGCAAGTTGTCTCCTAACTCATATTGCGCTATTACACTTACCGGCTGCATTGAATTGCGAAAAATTTGTCTTAACCGGTCACCGCATGCACTGCACTTACCAGCTGCATTGAAATACACAAGCGCAGTGTAGATATTTGACTAAGTCAAATAAATTCCAATTTTGGTCCCAACTGATACGACTTATGCGAGTTTTACTGTATTGTGCTATAGACCAGGAAAGGTTTCAAGCTCAATCTCCAGTCTCTGTCAAAGTAGATGATCTTAAATGGGGTGACGGAGGAGCATGTTAATGTGGACTTCCTTGTTGCTGGGCTATGGAAGACAAAATCAACCAGGCTCCTTTTTCCTGTTTGTTATCCAATGAACTCTGGTGGAAAGTGAGCATTTGCGCCAGTATTGGTCTTAGTCGTGAAAACGTGGGTAATGGGGAAAGAGAAATAGGGAAAGAACAGCGAAGAAAACAAATATTTATGTTTTGTAAAGTTGTAAACTGCACCTGTCAGTGGAAGTTCGTTCTCTGGTATCGGGTTCACTTCAGCACCAGGAACTTTGAAACTTCCTATTTCATCCACGTTGCAAGTTGATTTACACAGAGGATCTCCTGCTGACAGCAGATTCACAAAAGATCATTCGCTTTGGTGTCAGTTAGGCTCAGTTGGTTCAAAGGTTGTGGATTCAAACCCCAAATTAGAGCGAGGCATGCGTGCTCAACCAACCCCTGTAGGATGGTCATGTGTTTTCATGCTGCCCGACACACACTGACCTGCTTCAGACAACAGGTTGAGACCAGGAAATAAAATTGTAAATAATAAGGAGAGTATCTGTATGTGTATGCATCGACCTTGAAAGGGAGAATAGACCCTCTGGGAGTCTTCTATTCCTAAATCCATTATTCAACTGATTGAATTATCCGGCTGAGTGTAAACTTTAATGGAGATGATAGCTATTTTCTGTAAATGATAAACTCACTTTCACACCCACAGTAAAATTACTTTCTTCATTTCGAATCAAGCTCCAGCTGAGCCAATATTCCTGATAAGCAACTAATTCAAATGATGGGGTTAGACAGGGGTGATTTAACCTTACAAATTTATCTATGTTCAATATATAATTCCACTCAACATCCAAACACCTTCAATCCAGAGCACTCTCTTGCTTATACCAACCGTTTTTCTAAATATATATTATAAGTTTATACTGTATTACCATCACCAAGTTTATCAGGTGGTTCCTGTAGTGTGGACTGCAACGTCAACATGTTAACATATCAGCACTGATACAGTCAAGCTTCAATTTCATTCAGTCCCCCTCAGCACCACCCCTCCTTCTTACCCCCACCCACCCACACACATGCCTTCCCTGAATTTGTCGCCACACTTCAGAATGGAGGGATGAATGCATGATTGCACGTGTGGAGGACTGCCATTCTTCACATGTATAGAAAGATATGACTTTGTTGCATAAGTGACACAATGATGAATCATATCACTCCCTGGACGGACACATCCTGCTTTTCTAATTCTGGAGTATATTAGATGCAGGTTGGCAAGAGGCAAGGCCTGGGACTCCAAAGTGTACGTTGGGGTACTGCTGGAGTCTAACCAGCTAAAACCACAAGCTTGCCACTGATATCACTGTCTGGCAAGCTTTCTTGCTGCTTGTCCAGTTAGGACCACCCTACCCATTAGGGCTTTGACTTGCAGGGTTAACAGGAGCTGAGTGGGAAGAATCCCTACCACAAAGTCTGCTTCTCCAAATCCTGCTGATGAGCCAGGCTGGCTGTTGTCAGTGATATCCTGGAGTACGGCAGGCCCACCTATCTTAGGAGCCAGAC